GCCGGCCCCTCCCCACGGGCCAGCCGCTGCTAGACCCGCTCAGCTCCAGCTGGGAGTAGGGGCCGAATAGGCATGCGCCCCAAGCACAGGTGTGGACGTCAGGTCTCAGTCTGCACCTCAGATAATTAAATAGAGAGAAGGGGGCAGATCTGGGAGGATCTCCTGCCTCGCAGAGGGTTGTCTGTCTGTCTGTCCAGCAGCATCGTCCCTCTCGGCCACACTCAAAGCGGGCCCTGTCGCAACCACACTGCCGTGTGCTGTCTCGTTCCAGGTGACCTGTGTCTTGCACAACTGGACAGAGGCAACGCTACGGGGCCAGGCGGGAGTGGTTCCAGTGCACCCCGAAGACCTCTTGCACACAGACACACTGGTGAGCGGCACCATCCAGCAGCGCCAGCGACCCTGCAGCCTTCACGCAGCGATCTCAAAGCCGGAGCGCGCTCATCCGTGCCCTCCCCAGATAAAGCTTGGCCATGCCCACACAGGGACAGTCCCTTCAGAAAGAGGGTGGGATGAGTGGGGAAGGGATCAGCAGTGCCAAAGCCGGTTCCTGCAGAGCATGGCAGGTGCCGGCCAATTCAGCAAAGCCCAAACTGACAGCTTGGGCCCATTTACGGAGCTTGTGGACACCACTGCTGCCACCAATACTTTGGCAAAGAGAGTCTGACTACTGGTGTCCTGCCTGAATTCCAGTTCAAAGCATTTCTTTGGGCCTCCTTAAATTCCCCATCACATGCTGCCACACTCCCTCCCCTTGCCCCCCCCCCCCCCCTTTTGGGCATAAGGCAGCCAAGCTTTTTGTGCGCTAGATCAGGCCCATCTATGAGGAAGGCAAAGGGGGCAATTGCCCCGGGACCCAGTGATCCTAAAGGGCCCAGGATTTCCCAGCTGCCACCGTTGCTACTGCAGCAGCAGCCGGAACCCCGGGCCCTTTAAATCACGGCGGGAGTGCCGTGCCATGTGCCCCAGAACCCTGCGCCACACGCTCCTGGCCGCTCAGAGGGCTGGCGTGGTTTGGATAGCGGTGGGGTGGGGGGGCAGGATACCTGCCCCACCCCTCCCAGGAGCACAAAGCCCCGCCCACACACACTGCCCAAGGACCCGGCCACCCTGTCAGTTCCACCGAGCCTGATCTGCTCCAAGGGTATGTCTACACTACGGCTGTGTCTACACTGGCATGAATTTCCGGAAATGCTTAAAACAGAATAGTTTTCGTTATAAGTATTTCTGGAAAAAGAGCGTCTACATTGGCAAAGGGCCAGTGTAGACAGCTCGCAGCTTATTCCGGAAAAGCGGCTGATTTTCCGGAATAAGTGGCCCAGTGTAGACACAGCCCTGATGTTTGTCGGCAGAGGCAATGCAAATGAAGTGTGGATTAGCATTTTCTCATGCTTCATTTGCATAATCTATTCCAATCCATTTTTGCGCAAAAACATACAGGGTGGACGTGTCCATTTTGTGCAAAAACCGCTCTCCGAGGCATACAGATCTGACGCAAAAAAGGTTTTTTTTCCTCAAGGTTCTTCCCAGTTCTAGGATTCTATGATTGTGGGCCTTAGAAGCTTGCCTTTGAAAAGTCGCCCTTGCAAACAAGCTCCAGCGATGTTCCCCCTAAACCTGGTCTAAAATCCACCACTAACCTCAAGCCTGCAGCCTCTCCTGCCTTGTTGAGAGCAAAGCCATCTTCCCCGCTTCTTCAAAATCAAACCACGCCCCGTCTTGCTACCCCCAGGACCCTGGCCGCCAAGAAACGCCTCTGAACATAGCTTCGGTTTTGGTTTCTGCATTTCTGCATAACTCTCAAAAACGGGATTCAGGCACCAAAGTGAAAGCGGTGCTTTTGTGATTTGACCCTCCAGCAATGGAGTCATTGTGGACGGTTCTCCGAAAACATCCACTCTGTGTGCAGCAGCAGTGAAAAAAGAAAATAATGTTAGGAATCATTAAGAAAGGGCTAGAGAGTAAGACAGAGAACATCTTACTGCCTCTATATAAAACCATGGCACGCCCACATCTTGAATACTGCGTACAGATGTGGTTGCCTCATCTCAAAAAAGATATTTTGGCATTGGAAAAGGTTCAGAAAAGGGCAACAAAAATGAGGAGGGGTTTGGAACGGGTCCCGTATGAAAAGAGATTAAAAAGACTTGGACTATTCAGCTTCGAAAAGAGGAGACTAAGGGGGGATGTGAGAGAGGTCTATACAATCATGACTGGTGCGGAGAAAGTGAATAGGGAAAAGTTATTTACTTATTCCCACAATATAAGAACTAGGGGTCAGCCAAGGAAATTAATAAGCAGCAGGTTTAAAACAAACGGAAGTTTTTCTTCACTCAGTGCACAGTTAACCTGTGGAACTCCTTGCCAGAGGATGCGGTGAAGGCTAGAACTTTAACAGGGTTCAAAAAAGAGCTAGGTAGATTCATGGAGGTTAGGTCCATCAATGGCTATTAGTCAGGGTGGATAGGAATGGTGCCCCTGGCCTCTGTTTCTCTGGAAGTGGGTGAAAGGGGAGGGATCACATGAGGATTACCTGTTGTGTTCCCTCCCTCTGAGGCACCTGGCACTGGCCACTGTCGGCAGACAGGATACTGGGCTAGATGGACCTTTGTCTGACCTAGTATGGCCGTGCTTATGTTCTTACCAGGCTGAAGGGGTTGGAGGTTTTCTTTACAAACTTGGGCTGTTTTTCAGTTGTGGCTGGTGGGCAGGTGGTGAAACACACCTTGTTTTTCACCTGTGGTTAATTTTTCCTTTCCTCTCCCTTCTGTGACCTGGGTGAGGAGAGGGAGGGTGATGGGAAAAGGAGGAAAAACTCCTGCCTCAAACACTCCTAGCAATGAAATATTTGAAAGATACAATTTATTGCAATCAAAACAAAGTTTGGCCCAACTTCTGCCAATTCCTTTGGGAAATGCCCCATAGCCAGTAAGATTGGCTCCAGTAACGTGTGCCGGGAAGGAGTCACCCCCGCAGGCTGTTTGCCAGCCCATCGGCTCCGTCCTGGCACCGACACCCCCAGCCATCTCCCTAGTACCCCCCTAGCTTCCTGCCCCTTCTCAATGGGATGTCAGGGTGGGCTGGTGCACCGGCACTGTGTGGCACTCACGGCCCCACCTCTGCTCTGCTCGCAGAACTGCAGCAACGCCTGGTGCCAGGTGGTGACGTGTGAGCTGGAGCAGCTGGAGAAGAACACGGAGGTGGCCGTCCACCTGCTGAGGGTGATCCACAACGACTTCTTCAGGAGGGTGAGTCCAAGTGGCGGGCCGGTGGGGTCTGGGTCTCTAACACATACGGGCACAGCCCCCCAGGCGGGCAGACCGGGGTAGCAGGAGCCACTGGTGGCATCACTTTGGGAGCGGGGTCTAGTGGGCATGGAGGAGCCGGGCTCTGCTCCTCGCTCTGCCACTGATCTTGGGCCACGTCTCTTCCCCTCTCTCTGTCCCCCCCCTCCCACCTTTTATCTTGGCCAGACTGGATGCTCTATGAGGGGCAAGGACAGTTTCTCCCGAGGTGGCTGCAGCACTTAGCCGGCTGGGGCCTTAATCAGGCTGTAGCTTCTACTGTAGTGGGCATGGAGGAGCCGGGCTCTGCTCCTCGCTCTGCCACTGATCTTGGGCCACGTCTCTTCCCCTCTCTCTGTCCCCCCCCTCCCACCTTTTATCTTGGCCAGACTGGATGCTCTATGAGGGGCAAGGACAGTTTCTCCCGAGGTGGCTGCAGCACTTAGCCGGCTGGGGCCTTAATCAGGCTGTAGCTTCTACTGTACTGAGGGGCATCAGAGCAGGGCCTGGACTTGCCAGCTTTGAGTACGGTGGCACCTTGTCACCCACGCACTGGCGTTCGCTTTGCTGCACGGAGCCGTCTCCTTGTGAAAGTTCCCTGTCACGGACACGCGCTCGTTAATTCCGGGAAGCCAGAGGGGCGACCCAATCGATCCCCCATCGTCTAGGGCATGGGGTGCAGCCAAAATACTGCTGTGTGGACACAGGCTACAGTGCCAGCAGGGGTTCCCGCTGCTTGAGTAGCACCATCTCCCCTGGTGAGGGAAGCATGTATCTGGGGCCCAAACCGTGGCTACAAGGGGTTGCCACAGACTCAGCCCTCCCCGCCCCGCAGTGAGGATGTATCACACGCCCAAGGCTTGCAGCTCTGTCGACTTCAGTCTTTAGTGTAAACCAGGCCCCCGGCTCCACCTCCAGGCCCACGGTTCCAAGCTGCACCCGGCCAGGCTGACACCCGGCCCTTCCGCCTCTTCCCAACAGGCTAAATTAGCCAGGCTAACGCCCAGCCCTTCCGCCTCTTCCCAACAGGCTAAATTCAAGACTGTGAAAATCACCAGCACGTTTGCGCTCATCGCCCAAGAGAGCAGCTTCCTCGTCCTGGAGGAGTCAGCGCATCGGCGAGAGGTGGGTGGAAGGGAAGGGGCCAGAGCAGAACCCTGGGTCCTGTCCCCTCCCTCCACACCGCCTGATCCTCAAAGGCATGGGGGGGGCGAGGCACCTAAATACCTTAGACCAGCTGGAGACCTACAGGCTTCGTTTCTGTGCACTCACTCAGATACAGCCCACGTTAAGATGGCAAAAACAACAGGCTGCCCCTGCCTGATTTTTGCCTCGCTCAGGGCCATGTTGATTCGGTCGGGGAATGGCAGGGGGCCCCCCCCCACCTGCCATACTGGGGATAGAAACCTCTCTGAACCCCTCCCCTTCACATCAAAGAAACATGGGTAAGGTAGGCACATCCAATACCCCTTCCCCTCCCTGGGCAGACCGGAGCAGTTTGTGTGAAAGGCAAATTTGCCTCAGCAGCTGCTGCTGCGTTATTCTCCTAAGCCAAGATTTGGTCAAGACCGGGCGTGGTACCTGCCATACTGGGGATAGAAACCTCTCTGAACCCCTCCCCTTCACATCAAAGAAACATGGGTAAGGTAGGCACATCCAATACCCCTTCCCCTCCCTGGGCAGACCGGAGCAGTTTGTGTGAAAGGCAAATTTGCCTCAGCAGCTGCTGCTGCGTTATTCTCCTAAGCCAAGATTTGGTCAAGACCGGGCGTGGTGAAATACAGGGTGCGTTAGCCGCTGGCTTTGTCCCAATTCTTGGGTGGTGTTTCTAGCGTCTGTTGTCAGTCAGGCGTTCCGGATGGGTTCCTGGCCGGTCTTCCGCTCCGTCAATGAGGAGAAACTTTCAGCTGCATGCATGCGTGCCCCTGTCTACTGTATTAACCATGAGCAATTAGATAACATGAGAGACAGAGAGCCCCCAGAGACCACAAACCCAGCCCAGTTTATTGCCAAGTGAAGTACAGGAATAGTTGTCAGCGAACAGACGCGCTGCTGTGCCGCTGTGCACACGTACCCCGTGACAATGGACTCTCTCTGCCAACACTGTGGATCCAGCACTGCCTGCTAGGCCAGCCAAAGACCACTCTTTGGGGGACACAAGTACAAACAAGTTACACCTCACGCCTGACATATCAGGTTGCCACCTCCTGTTGCTTACCGCGTACAAGGAGGCGGGGGGTTGATCATCTATCATGCTGTCGGTTTAGACCTGGTCTGCTAGGGAGGAGGTTGGTACCAAGATGTCTCTCAATGAAGCGTTCTCCAGAAATGTTCCTACGACCTGTACCTTGAAACCCTCCACCTTATTTATGCTTAATCTTGTTAACGAAGCCGGCTGGCTGCTCACAACTTGACTTTGATCGGAGCAAAGTCGTGACTATAGCTCCTAGGCCTCAATCCTCACACCAGGCCTCCGCCACCTCGGTTATTGTTTCAGGCGCTCATCTTACCGCCGCCTCCAGGTTCATCAACTGTTGTAGCCAGAGCGGTGGGCACAGAAACCACGCTGTGCAAGGTTACCATATCTGAACTTCCAAATAAGAGGATACTCCTGAGAGGCAGTGTATCGCTATCAGTATCTACCAACTCCGTTGTATGAATGTGTTATCCTCCACCCAGCACCTACCCTACCCCACCTCCCTACCTTAAGAGGGTTCCTTATCCTGGTTTGGTTGTCCAGCTGCTCCTAGGGTAGGTGGAGGGGGGGTTGGACTTGAGGCCAACACGGTACACGCCCCAGCCGAATGCGCTATCCCCATAGCCACTCCAGCACCCACCTCACCTCCCCACATTCAAAGGGTCCTTTATCCTGCTTTCCTAATACAGGAGCCAGCTCCATCCACAGAGTAGCCTGTGTTGGATGACCCAGGGATGGACCTGGCTCCCCCATGAGGAAGGCAGGATAAGGGACATCATGCATGAAGTTAGGGAGGTGGAGTGGGGTCTGGCGTGGCCCTGGGGAGCACAGGATGGTGGGCTCAAGTCCTACCCACCCTGGGAGCGACAGGACAGCCAGCACAGGCTGCCTCAAGGATGGATCTGGCTCCTGCATTGAGAAGGAAGATAGGGAAGTGGGGTATACAGGCAGTCCCCGGGTTACGTACAAGATAGGGACTGTAGGTTTGTTCTTAAGTTGAATTTGTATGTAAGTCGGAACTGGTACATATTGTAGGGGAAACTCTAGCCAAACATTTCTCCAGAGCTCAGCTTTATTCTCCCACACCTCACTTCCCTCAGCCCTTTATTCTCAAGCTGAAGTGTCTGCTGAGAAAAGCCGCTCCACCTCTCCCTGGTCTGCTGGGGTGGGGGGGCGCTAGCTTCGCATCTCCCTGGTCTGCTGGGGGGAAGCAGCTAGTGCGGGGTTGCCTCACCCCGTTTGTAAGTAGGGATCCGATGTAAGTCGGATCCATGTAACCCGGGGACTGCCTGTAATACAGAGCAAGAGAAAGCTGAGCCTGAATTTTCAGTAGTTGATGAATGTCACACTGTCATATGTTCTTTACCTCTTTGGTGGGCATCTTTCCTCAGCCTCAGTTTCTCTGACTCACTACCCTGCCACCATTCCTTCATACTTATGTTATTCCTAGACTTCCAGGTGCCAAGCAATTTCTGCTTTTGCAACATCTGGGGCACTGGGATGCTCAGACCCTATCAAAGTCCATGAGCAAAACTCTCAGTTCTTCTTAGTGTTTCTCATTTAAAAAAAAATTGTTTGGTGTTCCTTGGTCTTAAAAAGTTTAAGAAACACTGGTGTAGGATTACCAGATAACTTCAAAAAAAAATACTGGGACACACTTGATCTCAGACTGGGGTGTGGGGGAGCTGGCCGGGAGGTTAGGGGGAATGGGGTTGGCCAGGGGAGATCAGGTGGGGAGGAATGGCTGGTGGGAAGCAAGGCTGGCTGGGAGGGGTGAGGGGG